TAGCGATGGCCTCCAACCTAGTAGCGATGGCCTCCAACCTAGTAGCGGAAACGCCATAGCGCTTTTGGATGGGTGGTCGAAGCGCCATTTACATCGTTTTGAGCGGTGAGCCTTTTAGAGCTGATTGTATTGGTCACGAAGTATGTTAGAGTACTAGCGATGGCTTCCACCCTAGAAAGCCCATCAGTTCACTTTGTGACGTATTTGTTCGTTTCCCTTTTGCGCCAGTCGTTGGACTCACAAAGTTGTGGATGCTGTGGCCGCTTTGTCTCAGGTGCTGTGTAGACTGTGAAACGGCCCCGTTTGCAACTAGTTGCGCTTCGTAGCCAAGCCGTGCACTGTGCCGCAAAAAGAGGTGCATTTTATTTGTACGAATCAGGCGCAGAAAGAGGGTTGATGAAACACTTTTTGAAGCCAGTCCTACAACCCTGTTGATTTAGCATGCAAAGATTTAGGTATGTTTGCTTTTAACCGGGCCCGACCCAAACAATGATGGTGTGTGAGCATTTAGTGAGAGACTTGCGCCACACGATCGTGTGCTTTTAACAGTCTTGCAGCTGTGTTGCTTACCGCTGCGTTTGGCTCTGGAGTGCTCTCGGGCACAAGGTCTGGGAACGCCTAAGACGGGCGCACCAAGGCACTGGCAATTCTTCCAAAAGTTTCCGCCCTTCCGTGCCAAACGTGTCCGCGCGTTGCTTCACAGGTCATGCCGTACGATTTGTGCATCAAAAACCGCCAGCAGAACATCCTGGTCATTACAGTTGAGGACTTCGTTGGCAAAGAGCAGAGAATGGAGTCACTTTTTGTTGGTAACGAAGCTTCGATCACCGGTCACGAGGTTCTCGAGGTCCTCGTCCACGAAAGTCGATCAGCGCGGCAAACGCGCTCTTTTCAGTAGGCCATTGCCCAAGTCGCGCGCGCACCCGCCACTGAGCTTGAGGCCTGAGCGCGGCGATCACAGTTCACACGTCTGATCCACCGGGTTGTGCGGCGCACAAACAACATCGGTGTAGATCTTTTGAAAGAAAGAAAATGAATTCTTGGCCTCTCACTTCTCACCAGTCTTCACTTGAGGTGGCTACTCCGAACAACGTGCCATGGGTTCCACCAACCCGATGAACACCCTCGCCCGATGCTGTCGGGGTGCGTTTGTCAAAGAACAAATGGGCACATGCCTTGCACGGCTGTCGTTCGTAGAGCATGTTCGCGGTCCGTTGAGCAACACAAGCCCTCGATGCATGCCAGCAGCCTCCTTGGCTTGCTAGATAGACTGGCTTGAAGGAAGCCTGTTGTCCTGCCACTTTGAACTTGTGGTTGAAGTCTGCCTCTTGCTTTTCTTTCATGTTGTGGTGCTCCTTTGCCAGCACCCGTAGTTCTCTTTGTGCATCTTGTCGTGCCTGTTCCCACACTGCCAACTCTTCTTTCAATCTCTGGTTCTGCTTGGTGATTGTGATGTTCTCCTTGCGCAGCTCTACCAGTCTTTGTTCTTCAAGTCCGGTTCGGGTTGTCTGGGCATCATTCTCTTTGAACTTCTTCTCAAGGATCACAATCTTCGGACCCTGCGTCCACTTCCAGAAGAGCCAGGTGAACATGCCGAGGAACGTGATCATCAAGATCAGCAAGACATAGTCAAACAGGTCATGTTCCTCCCCCTTGTAGTGACTTATAGTGCCCGTGAAGTTACCATCTTTCTCTTCAAGAGCGTTCACAGTGTTCAGGAAGTAGTTTGAAAACATTGCAAACAATGCTCTCTCAGGTCGTCTGATGGCATACATGTTCTCACCTTTCTTCCTGTTGGTCACATTCTTCCGTTTGGAAGCCTGGAAGGTCTCGTCGCTCTTCAGCCTTGTCACATGGGATCGGAGTCGTTGTCCAAGAAGAGCAGCTGCTGAATCCTTGGTGAGACCATCAGCGTACTGGAGCTCAGAGGATACCCACATGACTTTTCCATTGCAGCATGAAAGCTTGTCTCAGACACACAAGAGCCTCAATGGTGGTTCTCTTATCTGCCCCTGTTGCTGCTTGGATCTCATCTTTCACCAGGACATCATATAAGGCCTTTGCATCCACAATGAGCTTGGGACTGTTCTGCAGATGTCCAGTGCTCACGGAATCCAGTGGCATCAATGCCTTGAAGATGAGGTTCCAGAACAAGGAGGTGTACATGAGACTATCTGCGGCTTCACTTGCTGCCTGGGACTCTGCTGAGAGCGTGCTTCTTGACACACGTGGTAGTTTCCAGCTTCTCCAGTCAATCACATTGTAATGCCCTTCACTCTTGCCGTTGGCGACGTCCTTGTGGCACATAGCCAGAAGGTATCCGCCTTGGCTGCTCAAGTCTGACCTTGTTGCTGAAGGTCATGTCTTCTTTGGCTCCAAGACATCTGTACTGGAGTCCAACGTCGGCATACTCCTTGGCATAGCGCAAGTGCTTATTGCCTTTCTGAAGTGTTGCCACTGTTGCCTTTGAAGTCTCGCCAGCCAGTTGGGAAATTCCAACTTGGAGATGAGGTGAGCTCTGGGTTGCAGGCCACTGCAAACCACCAATCAGTCCACGTAGTAGAGATCGTTCTCGCTCTGTCACAGGAAGGTCAGGACTGGTCATACGCTCCTTGGCGATGGGTATTGGCTTCACCTTGTGGATGTAGGACTCTTGGCTCAATGCGAGGACGTCTTCAGAAAGACTCTTGATTTGGCTTCCACAGTACTCAAGGTTATTGCCCTCTTGCCACTCACGGAACGTGAAGACATTCTTGAGCTTCTCTTTGACCTCAAGAAAGTAAGGGTCTTGCAGGTCACCGCAACCAACTAGATCATCAACATGAATGCCAAAGATGCAGGCCAGCTCTCGCTCCACCGTTGGATCCATCACTTTTTCTGGGTCCAAGGGTCGATAGACCATGAAGAGGCATGGGTCCAGTGGATGTCTTTGGATGTTGCCTTCGCCAACTCGAAGAATGCGTTCTGTTGCCTCTTCATACCATGCCCGGGGAGCATCACATAGTCCGTACATTGGCTTCACCGATCTCATCAACGTTGGTTCCTCAGGTGACATGCCCAGAAGCTGTTTGGCGTCACGTGGCAATCTGATCCTAATCACTCGCTTGGAGTCCTTGTCAAAGTTCTTGCCCTGCAAGAAGGCGGTCGTGATGTCTGAGGTGAACATGTGCCATTTGTAAAGTTGGCAAACGCATAGTACCAAGCCTCTTGCCAGTCTGGTCAATGTTGGGGCATTGGTGGACAAAGCTCCGGAAAGTGCATCTGGGTCTTTGAAGCCTTGTGTGATGAGTCTTGCCTTTGCTCTTGGAGTGCCATCTTCATTCTTCTTCCAAGTCAAGATGAAGTGGGCCTTGAGGATTCGCTCTGGGTCTGCGTTCCTCTCCTCATCATAGAGCCATACTTCATTCTTGAAGAAACTTTCCAGCTCTTTGATCTTCGCCTGGATGAAAGACTGGCGGTCGGCCACACTCATGTACCTCTCGAACACCTCGTCCTTGCCCTTCTTCTTCTTGGCAATCTTGTCTGAAGGTGTTCTCAGGGTCTTGTACCCGTTGCTGGCTTTCTTGTAGTCCTGTTGTGCCTGTTCACGCCAGTTGGGTTTAATCTTGAACTTGGTTTGTCCCGTCCAGTAGGCCTCCTCGATGAGGGGGTTTCGACTGTGTCTCTTCCATCGGTCCTTGAAGGCGCCGTGCGATGTGCTTGACACTCGCTCCTTAACCAGGGGCATTCCTCATCCGATGGGCGATATGCCTCTTTTCTTGGGACGTAGTGGTTTCAATTCCCTTCCATGACCCACTCGTCTTCGGGGCTATCTAAGCAGAGCCATCCATTTTCAAGGTGCCACCCTGGTGGTAGGTCATCAATCTTTTGAACATCCACCTCAATCTGCATGTTCATGTCCTCTGTGGCCACCTGATCGTAAGGCGTTGATCGGGCAGTCTCTGACTTCATGGGTCCATACACCGTTGGCTTCTTGAGGAAGGACAGTGTCTCTTGTTTGTCAACTCTGCTTCTCTGGTTTCTGAAGCTCTCATTGACTGTGGGTTCATAGAGCCTCTTTTGATGTTCCGGAACCGGTGCTGGAGGCATCTCTTGTGGTGCTGCTTCATTGCTTGGTGGTGCCGGTTCCTCTGTGGGTGCTTCATTTGCTTCATTGTTGTTCTGTACTTCTTGAGGTGCATCATCTGCTGGTGCATTGGTTGCCGGGGGTGCCGGTGATGGCATTGCTGATGCTGATGTTCGTGGTTGATCATCTTCTGGTGATCCATCCTCTGGTTCAGGAGGTTCTTCCGGTTCATCTCGCACCAGTTGTTCGAAGGTGTCATCTGAGGCCGTTTCCACGTCGTCATCTATCTGGAAGGTTGTTGTCCCTGTCCACCGGTAGTGGAGGTTCCTTCCGGCATCAATCGTCCGCCAATCGTCTCGTAGTCGAAGATGTTCAGGATGAGGTGGGTTTCGTCTGATGACAGTGAGACGTTGGTTCCGGAAGCGGTCTACAGGGACATCATCTGTGCTGACTGGCACGAAGAGTTCTTTGCGCTCAACATTGTGCACACGGGTCCAGGTCTTCTGATCATCGCTGACTTGCCAATAGTCAGCCAATCCTGGATTCACTTCCCCTTCTTCTCCTCCTGCCATGTGGTCACCATCAAACTCTTCATCTTCCTCATCACTGGAGACTTCATGTCTTTGTCTTTTGTTCGTCTTGGTGAGGTCGGTGTAGAGAGTCGTGCCCCTGCTCCTGATGTTCTGCAGGCTTTGCTGTGCCTTGAAGAAGGGATCATCATCAGCTGCCTTGCCAGAATCCTCCACAGGTAGAGGTCGAAGATTGTGTGGTGCTGTTCTCAAAAGGTTCGTGCCGTGTACGATCCAGTATATGTTGGAATGTGGTCCTCCATCAAGTTGCTCGACCATCGCAATGCGGGCAGGTCCGCGCCAGCGTAGTTTGGGTCCTATGCCACCAGGTCCATCTCGGTAGTAGTAGCGCATGTCCCCCAAATGAAACACGATCAACTGGCCAGCGAACTTCCGGTTCATTGCCCGTCGCAGTCTTGTATCAACATCTGCTGAGAAGACGGCGTTTGCTGCTGCTTTCTGCCTCTGAAGCTTCTGCAAGAACTCGTCAGAAGGGTCGAGTGATGGTGGTGGTAGTGGTTCTTCTGTCAGTAACCCAGGAATGTGAGGCGTGTAGCCCAAGACCCACTGCACTGGACTGTAGCCTCGGACATTGGTGCTTCTGTTGATCTGAGGAACGACATAGCGCAAAGCCTGTATCAGCTTTTCACGAGGTTCTACTGGCTGCAGTACGTTGCCTTGCTCTTGATCAGCCAGATATAGTTCCAATGCTCT